AGGTGACTGATACTCACAACACCTGGCCACCTGTGAACGATGGTCATGTGATGTGAGTATCAGTCACCTGGAGGCAGGACATAAAAGCCTGAATTTTGCCTGAAACTCTCAGACTGAAGAAGTCTCTTGGAAGAGAGACGAAACGTTTCATTAAAGAAGAACCCGTCCAGAAGACCTATACAATTTTTTTTTTTTCCTTATTTTGAGACATTAATACTGAGCTATGCCGCATCGCTGCAGACGCAGCACCAATCCTCCTGTCAATCTCCCGCTCCATTCTTCCCTCTTTTGTGAACAAGACCCCGATATACTTAAACTCCTCCACTTGGGGCAGGACCTCCTCACCGACACGGAGAAGACACTCTACTGTTTTCCGGCTCAAGACCTCTTCTCAGATTTGGAGGCACTGATCCTCATCCCGGCTGCTTCACACTCGGCTGTGAACCACTCCAGTGAGAACTGGAGATCAGGATCTGCTGAAGCCAATAGGACCACATCATCCACAAAAAGCAGAGATGYGATCCTAAGGTCACCAAAAAGGATCCCCTCAACAGCTTGACTGCTCCTAGAAATTCTGTCCATAAAAGTTATGAACAGAATCGGTGACAAAGGACAACATTGGCAGAGCCCAACTCTCAGCAGTAACGAGTCCAATTTACTACCGGCAATGTGGACCAAGCTCTGGCACCGGTCAAACASGGACCTAACAGCCCGTATCAACGGGCCTGGTACCCCATACTCCCAGAGTATCCCCCACAAGAGTCCCAGAGGGACACGGTCGAACGCCTTTTTCAAGTCCACAAAACACATGTAGACTAGTTGGGCGAACTCCCATGTACCCTTCAGTACCCTGCTGAGGGTGTAGAGCTGTTCCACTATTCCACGACCAGGACCAAAACCACACTGCTCTTCCTGAATCTGAGATTTGACTATACGACAGACCCTCCTCTCCAGGACCCCTGAATAGACCTTACCAGAGAGGCTCTGAAGTGTGATCCCCCTATAGTTGGAACACACTCTGTGGTCTCCCTTTTTAAAAAGGGGCACCACCACCCCGATCTGCCAATCCATTGGATCTTCCCTCGATGTCCACGTGATATTATAGAGTCGCGTCAATCAACACAACCCCACAACATCCCAGAGCCTTACGGAACTACGGGCGAATCTCATCCACCCCCGGCGCCCTGCCACCGAGGAGCTTTTTAACCACCTCAGTGACCTCAGCACCAGAGACTGGAGAGTCCGACCCAGGGTCCTCAGGCTCTGCTTCCTCATGGGAAGACGTGTCGGTAGGATTGAGAAGGCCTTTTAAGTATTCCGCCCACTGACCCACAACGTCCCGAGTTAAGGTCAGCAGGGCACCATCCCCACCATAAACAGCGTTGGTGGAGAACCACTTTCCACCCGAGATGCCGGATGGTGGACCAGAATCGCCTCGAAGCCGTATGGAAGACTTTTTCCATGGCCTCTCCGAACTCCTCCCACGCCCGAGTTTTTGCCTCAGCGACCACCCGAGCCACAATCCGCTTGGACTACCGATACCTATCAGCTGCTTCTGGAGACCCACAGGCCAAAAAGACCCAATAGGCCTCCTTCAGCCTGACAGTATCCCTCACCGCTGATGTCCACCAGCGGGTTAGAGGGTTGCCGCCAAGACAGGCACCGACAGGCACAACAACATTATGGCCAAAGCTCAGGTAAGACGCTTCGACAATGGAGGTACGGAACATGGCCCATTCGGACTCAATGTCCCCTACCTCCTCTGGAACGTGTACAAAGTTCTCCCGGAGGTGTGAGTTGAAGGTCCGTCTGACGGGAGACACTGCCAGACGTTCCCAGCAGACCCTCACTTTACGTTTGGGTCTGCCAGGTCTGACCAGCATCCTATGAAGCTTAAAAATGAAAAAGTATCAGTATTGATATCGGCAATACTGGCCCTGTATTTACTTGTATCGGATCAATACCAAAAATCGCCCACCTCTACTGCAGAATGCAGAACATACGGTAAAATACACTGTCTAGAAAATCATTCACCTAATTATATGTTCCTATTGTACAACATGCAAATCTTTAATGATTTAAAATGCATTTACAATCATCAATATGTGCATAGTTAGAAAATGAACTTTTCATTATTTGGTTGCCTATTCAGCTTTACAGTCGAGAGGTAGCATTTATAAAGCTTGTGTATGCACAAAACAGGCCCAGAAACTTGCGTACGCCACTTTTCATGTAAAGATTCTGACTTATAAAACTCAAACTTGACATGAAAATATAACCACCAGCTCTGAACCCATGCATTGAGACACAGCCACTGTTTTTATGCTGAAAATAGAGCTCTGTTGGTTGTTGTAAGAAAGGTGGTGTTGGGATGATGAAGGAACGYTGGAACCTTTAAAAATAGCCTCTTGTTTCATGTTCAGCCACAGTTCATTAAGAATGGCTTGAAAAGAACAACATAATTTGTTTTAATACCTTGTTGGCTATATTTTAAAGCTTTGTCAGAACTACATAACTAAGTTAAACTATTTTTAACTACTGCCAAACTCCATTCAGACTTCAGTGACCAATACGTGTAAAAAATGTACATAAAATGAGTCTGTCTGACTGTGAGATTCTGCTGTCTGTGTGATATTATAACTGTTCTTTTCTAAATTACCTTTATTCAGTATGGACCTGAACCTGTTTTTGGACCCACTGAGAACCTTTCTCCAGACGTTTTTATCAGAGGACTGAGACCATCAGGCGCTGTCAACGAGACTACAACCAGTAGAACCCAGAGTTTCACACCACAGCAGGTAAAATAGTTGTATTAACTGTAACTTTATGAACTTAATAGAAATAGTTAATATAAATCATCAAACAAAGTTAAAATAATTAGGGCTTGCCATATAAAATGAATAACACAGCAGAGGAAGGCATTGCTTTAAAATCCTCTGCCTCCATTCATTTGAATGGCATCACCTATTATTATCCACCTCAAAAAAGGATCTCTATACTTTAATTTATCAACAAAAAGCYCACGGTGCTACACCCAGACACAGAGCTCTTTCTTGGCTATGACTGGCTACCAAAGGTGGCCCGTCCGGTCCATTGTGAGTCATATAGCTTCCAGCAATATGAACAAAAACCTGTGCCTGGTTAGTGAAACAGTAAATGTGGCTTTCTTCATTTCACTATTTAAATCATGCAGTTCTTGCTTTTACTAAATTAAAGCCTACGGTGAATGGCGTTAGCATATTATTAGCAGCTACATCTCAGTTTCCAAGACAAGTTTACAAAAATGGACACCTGTTCCAGGCAGTGGATGCTCTCTGTGAAGACATCTTCACCACTTGGAGCAACATTTCCTCTAGCCTCCTGAAAACACACCAGCATCAAGCATGCTGAAACAAATTTTCGAGGTGATTAACAAGAATGGCTTGGCTACTCATTGCAGAGTCCTTTTTTTTTAAATTTTATTGCCGTTTTAGAGGGTTTTGTTTTTTGTTTAGATATGGTCTTTAACCTTTGATCAGCTGATGAACAGCCTATTAATTGTTTGCAATAAAACGCTTACTCATTTACTTTTTGGTCTCACGCTCATTTCTTCTTTTTGCATTTCAAAGCTCTACTTAGAACCTTCTTATGATCCAACAGCGCAAAATATGAATTCTTGCCATTTTTCAACTGGTTTTAACATTTTGATCAGAACTGTAATAAGATTTAATGCTCCAGTGGGCTCAGCGAACTTACTAGTGATGGAATCCACAAAGTAATGAAACTTCCTCTTGAAGATATCAAGTGCATGCTGAAGAACCTGCTGGTAGTTTGCCTTCCCCAAAGAAATGAGGTTCAGCTGCTTCTCCACAGCGCTGCGTATGGTAGGCAGCACAAGCTCTGCATCTGCACACATACACATACAAATCTGATATGGGGACCCCAACAGGTAAAACAGTGTAGCAGAGTGCAGCAACAGTACCACCCTTATGTTTCTTCTTCCAGTTACATTCTAAAGTTGTCACCTAAATTGGATATTGGTGGTCACTACTGGATATTCTATAATTGAATGCATTAGTTTAGACACCAAAATTAATGCTCTATGTGGTATAGAATCAAGGTTAGAAGGCAAAATGTGAACTCCGGTGGCCATTTTCAAAATCCAAGATGGCCGTCACCTAAAATGGATTTTTGTGATCACCACTGAACCCTCTATCCTTGAAAGCATGGTTTAGACACCAAGACCCCAGCTTTATGTAAACTAGAAAACAAGTTAGAGGGCAAAATGGGTATTCTGGTGACCATTTTGAATACTGTCCCATAAAGCTTAACAAACAAGAGAAAAAGAATGAAGCCAATGGATTTACTCTAGAGTACACTCTAAACAATTATCAGGCTTCTGCAGAACTTGGAAGAGGTAATTCAATGACTGAATCAGGTGTGTTGGAGCAGAGAAAAAAGTAAAACATGCAGGGTTGCTGCCCTCGAGGACCAGGATTGCCCACCCCTAAACTAAATGATAAATATGTATGCAACAGTTTCTAAAGATACGGCCCCAATATGAACTAAAAGAATTACTCGGAAACAAGCTTTATCTATCTAAGAGTGAAAATAAAAATCTAAAGGAAATGACCTATCTTGTAGTAGCCATGTACCAGGACTATGCCCAGATTGGTTGGTTTTAGTTTGCGTCCGCTCTCTACTGTCACATAGTTCCTCTGACAGATGTTGTTGATGTGGACAGGGATGCTGGCATCAGTACCTGAAAGACACAAGACACACATTAACTTGTGAAAAATGTATAATTTTGTCAGCACTCAAAAAATATAACTTTCATGTGCAGTTGTCAGCTGGAGTAAACCTTCATGTAAAGCTATCTTTTAACTGGTGTTTAAACCTTAAATATAAATTTCAAGATTCTCCCTCACTGGTTCAAGAATAAACTACTACAATAATTTGTTGCCTATTTCAACTAGCTAAATGATAAGCTTAATATATACAAAATAATTACTGGAAGAGAGCACATGAAGCATAAATTAATAAAAAGGTTGGGATAAATTAACTCAAACATCCTTCTGTACAACTTGAATAAATAACTTTGAAGATAACTTCTACAGGGCGACTGTGGCAGAGTGGTTAGAGGAGTCTTCCTGGGGCCGGTAGGTTGCTGGTTCAGTTCCCCATTCCAGCTGTCTCAGTTGTTGTGTCCTTGGGCAAGACACTTCACCCCCAGTGCCTCTGATGTGTGTCCCATCGGTGTATGAATGTGATTGGTGATAGAAGATTTGTACATGTTAGCTTTGTAGTGAAATCTAATTGAGTGTTGTGTGAATGGCTAAATGAGGACAAAGATTGTAGTGTGAAGTGATTTGAGTATCCTGGTTGGATAGAAAGGTGCTATACTCTACAGTGTTGTGGCAATGGTGTAGTGAAGGTTATATGCTGGTTTGCAGTGTGTAATGGTCTACTGGTGAATCATAATCCAAGTCTATATTCCCCTGATGAATATAGAGGAGTCCTCTGGCTCTTCCCGGTAGTCCTACAGCCATCTGTTCAAATCTACCGCCCCCGAAGAAGAAGAGCAAATCAAAGCCCAGTRGTTTGTCTCACAGGTATCAATCATGTTCGTGAATAAACTTCTTAATTTTGATGATTACAAATGACAACAAATGAAAATCTCAAATTCAGCATATCCGAAAATTAGAATATTACTGAAGACCAATAAAAACAAAGGATTTATAGAAATGTTGGCCAACTGAAAAGTATGAACATGAAAAGTATGAGCATGTACAGCACTAACAAAGAAGCTTTGGCCCTCGTCTGGGGCAGCCGTTGGAGGAGACAGAGTCTTTGTTCTCCAGTGAAGCTTTTTTTTTAGTTGGGGCTCCTTTGGCCTGTATTACTGCAGCAATGCGGCGTGGCATGGAGTCGATCAGTCTGTGGCAC